AGTTTTAGTTTCCTGCAGAATCAGATGGTCCCCTGTGCACTGGCCCTGATATCCTGTTTTAGGGTAGCCCCTTTCCCTTGCAGGGTCCAATGGAGCTACGCTTGCATGTGTTAGTTAGATTTGGGTGTGCCCCCACAAACACACAGGCACAGCAAGGCCTGACACTGCCCATCTGCCTATTTTCCTCCCTATTTCCTGCTCCCTCCTTTTATCCTTCTCCAAGCTAGTAGATGGACAGCTGCTAGAGACTACTCTGCCCCTTGTGAGCTTGTACTGCACAGGAAGTATAGGGAAGCTAAGCTACGAGAGTTGGAGCCAACTGTCGGAAACATGATGACTGTAAATGTTTGGGCAAAAATGTAAAAAAAACACTTGCTGGGCAATATAGATTTGTTTGATCTGGATTTATTATTGGAAAAAAAAAAAGATTCTAGTTTAAAGGAGAACTATGAGGTGAGTGCTTTTCACTCACCTCATAGTTCTAGCCGACCTGTGACAATGAGACTGTCCCAGGTCGGCTCAGTAGATCGGGAGGTGAGCGAACACATACCGGCGTTCACTCACCTCTCGATCCTGTCACGGATCTCTGCCGTGACAGGGGAGGGGCTGAATTCCTCCCTCCCCGCTCTAATCCTCCAGCGATGACTGGCGGATCGGACGGGGGAGGGGGCGGGTACATATGGCTCTGTCTCTAGATAGGCAGAGCCAGCTGTCAGTCACGCAGCTGGGCGGATCCCGGCACAATTGTCGGGATCCGCTTTAGCTGCGGCGTCTCAGTATACCACGAGCAGCAGCTCGCGGTGTACTGCGGCGTCTCAGTATACCGCGAGCTACAGCTCGCGGTACACTGAGCCTAGGGTGACGGGAGGGCGCTAGTTTGTGTCCTCCCGTTACCCTAAGGAGAACTATGGGGAAAAGCCCTAACCCCATAGTTCTCCTTTAATACTACTTTAACAGGCAAAGTGCATATTCACTTCAAAGGGTTCATCTTGGGCTGCATAACCTGTTGAGTCCAGGAGCAGTTGCACTCTTGTAGGTACACTGTAGAAGGTTGTTTCATATGAGGTTTCTGGTCCTACTAAACATAATATTAGATCAGATTAAATACCTTCTGCAGTGCATCTACAAGACCATCAGCTCCTAGACTCAACAGGCACTTAAGGTTTGGAAATCACTACAGCTGTAAGCACATGACAGTGACACAAATGTTTCCTACAGCCTCTGTCAGCACCATTACATTGTAAGCTGGAAACATGGCCTAATGCCTAAATGTCTCCATTGTCTATGAAATATTGTGAAATCATTGGGCAGGAGAAAATGGTTTGCTTGCTTTACCCTGAAAATGGTTTTGTCTGTTTTCAGCAGAAGTAAGTATGCAGTATTCAGTCACTGATTGATTGCTTTTGACAGTAATAATTTAGAAATGAGTTTGGTTGCTTGTCTATCAGCTGCTTGTTGAGCATGACATGAAAAACTAGTAAATCAGAGCTGCATGACTTCCTTCCACATAGTCTTTTTTTGGCCTTCCAGATATAAATTACATCAGGTCTTCTTCTTGAAAGGGATTTTCAATTTCTTTAAATTACATTATCGCTAGCCCAAATAAGGCTTTTGGTTCCTTTCATGATTGTAAGCTGGAAATCCAAGTATAACAAATGAGTTTTTGTGCTATGTGGGAGGAAACGCTATGTGCCCTTATGACTTTGTCTTCTGTGCACTTGAAAGTTGAATCGCACATTGAAGCTGGCCGTAAATTAGCAAACTGGGACAGCCAGACATCACTCTCATTCTAAGACTGATCTGCTAAACCTCTGGCCATCGAAAGTTATGTTTAAAGCTGAACTCCAAGTAGATATAAAAGATGCAAATTAAGAAAGTTGAAATCCAAGCAGATATAAAAGGCGCACATTAATGAAGCCCTGTGTTCTTTATTACTTCATGCAAATTCTTTGGCAGGTAAATCGGCTCCATTATATGTATTTTATTTTGTGTGGTTTTTAGCTGTATCCCTGGTATTCAACGTTAAAGCCCATTTCCACCTTTGCAAGTGATTAGTATTTTATGTGGTAATGTAGAGGTGCAGTGATGATATATGTGTGTGCATTTTCATAACTCACATTGCTGTCTTTCTTTAAAAGAAATTATGGCCTTTTTAGTGGGCCTGAGTCCTACAAATGTAAAATTCCCTCCACAGGAAACTGTCTGACTCTGGTGTTGGATTGTCCTGTACTGGCTGTAGAGCAGCTGACCCCCAGTCATCATACCAAGATCACTGCACACCAGCTCTGCCTCTCCAGGTCACTCTGCACTGTTCAGGGTGTGTAATGAATGGGACTAGAGAGCACAGTTTCCACTTTTAAGCTTGTGCACAAGGTAAGCATAGCAATGGGAGAAATGTAGTTTTCCATGCCCTACATTGTAGTTCCCACTGTGCATAGCAGCCTGTAATTTACAGAGACTGCCTGCAGAGCACAGAGGCAGAACCGGTGCGAGCATACACAGGCATATTTTTCCACCCTAGCTCTGCATAGACATCCCATAAAGCAGCACTCCAAAACTAATAGGAGCACTGAGATATCCATGTTACAGGTCAAACCAATTATGTCAGAAGCATTTAAAAAAGGAAAGACCATCAGCTATTAGTGTCTTATGTGAAGCTACAAGCAATGGCACCACAAATACAATGGCACCACGAATACAAAGACACCCCAAAGTGCACCACTCTAGAAAGCATAACTAAGATGTCTATGGTACAGCAGCTCTCCCGCATTTGGGAAAAGAATGACCATCTACTGAAGCCCTATATGTAAAGTTACAGGCATTGACACCCCAAGTCCATTACTGTGGAGCACCCCAATACAAGGGCACCCCCCCATAGATCTTAACTCCAGAAAGCATAACTAACAGCAGATAACAAGTGACCTTAAACTGATGTTTAACTGCTTCAGGACCACTAATGTAGATAAACGGCAGCATCCTGAAAGTTTACCAAGATCACGGCTGCTGCAGCCGTTTAAAAATATCTGGTGATGGCTGTTTCATATCCAAGCAATCCAGCGGCTATACAGCCACCTGATCGGTTGTACTGTGCCACCGAGTGTGCCCGGCTGCCCCCACTCCGTTGTCCCCAGGACTAACACAGCAGGTGTGTCCTCTTCGATTGGAGAGAGATCAGCACACTCCCAACTGCTGATCTCTCCTCTGATCACTGGACCTGGAAGTTATGTGTATTACATCACTTCTGGTGTCACTCTCTAACTTCTCTGACTGCTATTCACATATACATTCACTTTTCATGCTTTTTTGCTTGCAAATTCGTCAATTGTAGAATCGACCAATTACATTGCAAACACATTTTATTTACAATATGTAGCAAAACATTGTGTGTCCTGATGAGTCCTGCGACAACCATTGTGGCTGCTTATGGGTTGAAGGTGGCAAAAATTCTGTGCAATAAAATGTTAGGAGGTCTTAAACTTATTGCTAATGTAACGGAGGTATTCTCACTGACCAGCAATGTAATGGAGGTATTGTCACTGACCAACAATGTAACAGAGGTATTCTTACTGATCATCAATGTAATGGAGGTATTCTCACGCCAAGCAATGTAAGGGGGGATTCTCACTGACCACCAATATAATGGAGGCACCACTATTTAAAAAAAATATTTTTGTACATGTACATACGTAAACATACCTTTTTTTTCCCTGCAGTTTTCAGGCTGGTCATGTCCTTTTTCCTCCTTTAGTGGAAATGGTGGGCAGTACTTCCTTTACATCTCATTACATGAAGTGCCATGCTATACAAGAGTACTGTGAGCCTATGGGTTAATTTGCATATCAATTAGCTGCAATATTTACATATGAGTCACTGTTTATACATATGTAAATACAGCCGCCTATTCCCATCTTAATCTCACGGTGGGTGACCGCTCTGGGCACTGTGTGGGCTCCCAGCAGGCTCCGAAGAGAGGGCGCACACAGCAGAGAGAACTGGGAGCGAGGCTGAGACTATAGGGGCTCAAGCTCGGAGCCCAGTCCACACCGCTGCTTGTGTGTGTGTGTGTGTGTGTGTGTGTGTGTGTGTGTGTGTGTGTGTCCATCGGCACCCTCAGGTTTGTGCTGCCTTATGGTAGCGCCAGCCCTGCACAGAGGCAGCCATTTCAAAAGGAGCCATGAGGAGAAGAAGAGGATAGCTAACAATAAAAAGTAAGGTTTTGTTTGGATCATTTACAGCAACTTCATAAGCCTGCTTCATGTACATTGCTGGCATGTTTTTTTTTTTTTTTTTTAGAAATACCTCCGCAAAGGTTGAAATTGACTTTAAAGCTAATAGAAACATACTGTTCTAAGTGCTTCTTTGCAACATGTAGATTTTATACAAGAATTGAGAAATTATATATAAGCTAATTTTATAAGCCTTTTAATAAAATTAAATCAAAATCATGAAAGTGTATCTTTAAAGTTTTTTTCCATGTTTGATTGGCATTCGTCTTCACTGAGTTTCATGATACTGTAATTCTTCATCTGTTCTGTCTCAAAGCAAAAACAAAGAGGAGGAAAGACTTCTAGTTGAACGTGATTGATTGCTGGTATGGTACATGGAGATGTCTAACCTCTCTACAGTTTGCTGCATTTATACTTAAATGTTTATAATTTGTTGCAGCTGTAGAATGTACACTTGTTTTTATGTAGCCGAACGGCCGTATTGGGAGCAATTCTGTATTAACAGTATCGAAAAAGGATAACGGTTGCTCTACTTTAGTTCAGCCTCTGGATCAATACTTTTAATCTAATTTATTTTCTGCTGTACAAGTCACTTTTCTGTGTGACAGAATTAATTTCTCTACTCTGACAATACTGCATGGGTGATTTAGTATTCTTTGTACACAAATTCTTTTGTATCTAAATATATCAATGCATCTCCTCAAAAGCACCAATTTTATGTTTATGGATTATTTTATTTCCAGGATGAATTATTGTTCTGTTTTTCTCTTACAGAAAGAAATCCAGGCAATGAGTCAGTGTCATCACCCCAACATTGTGTCATACTATACCTCCTTTGTAGTTAAGGATGAGCTCTGGCTGGTAATGAAATTAATGAGTGGAGGTAAGAATTAAAAATACATAAATAAAATGTTTCACTACCTAGCTAATTAATATCTTGAAACAGGTTTCTTGACAACTGTTCCACAGACGTTCCACCCCAAGAGGTACTTCTTGGGAAGCATTCTATACTTTCTCCAGTCTGGCCTGCATCAACGTTTGGCCCTCAGTCCCATCAAGGTTTAAGTCTCTGCCTTGAAGGCAGAGACTTGCCCTATTCCAAGGCTGTTTGCCTCTTACTCCTTGATGAAGACTTTCGTATGGGGATATTAACCCTTCTGTGGGTTCCCCAGTGACTCGGTGTGATCCCATTCTGTTTCTATAGGTAGTGGGTTGCCTGCCTCTCGTTCCACTATAGCCAGGTAGATTCGAAAAATTGTCACTCCGTTTTATGTCCTCAAGGGCATGGTTACTTCTTTCCTTGTAAAAGGGCCCATTTAACCAGATCGGTTGGAGGTTCTTGGGCTTTTACGCATTAAGCTTCTGTTTCTCAAATGTGCAGACTGCTTCTGTTTACACATTCATTAAGTTTTACAAGGTGGACAGTCAGACTGGCTTCGGTTGTAAAGTTCTTCAGGTGGCTCTGTTGAGCTGCCTCTGTTAATATTACACACACTCACAATTTTTCCCCAATAAAAGTTTTTGCTTCCAAAGATCATCTGAAGCAGGGGTGCCCACAAGGTCGATCGCGATCTACCAGTCGATCGCGTAGCGATGACTGGTAGATCGCCATGTCCTCTCCTCCCGCCGCTTCTCTGGATCTCCCCAGCGGGGATCCGAGAAGAAGTGAAGGGACCGGCGGCGGGGGAGGACGAAGCCGCTGTCGCAGAACTAATGCAGAGCGGTGAGGAGAGAGAGAGAGAGACGCTCGGCCAGGATCTGACAGCCGGCGCCTCTCTCTCCCCTCACTGCTCGTCCGTTCTGTCACAGCGGCTAGTACTATGTGTCCCCAGTTATAAATGAATGAACAGGATGTGATTTACATCACGTCCCGTTCATTCATGAGTTTCTCAATGGGGGGAAGCACTCTGTACAGGGGTTCCTCCCCATTCAGAAACTGCTTGATATTAAAATATTTTCTGAATGAATGGGAAGCCTCTGTGCTTTCCATTCATTTAGAATAGAGGCTGCAGAAAAAAAGATTGTGGACTATGTGTCCTCAATTTCTTTTTCGATTTTAAAAGGGAAATATCACGGGTCTGTTTAGACCCCTAATATTTCCCGGAAGCCCCCCCAGAGTAAAAAAATTATTTAAAAAAAATTACGAAAATGTCATTTGAAAAGTAGATCTCCAGGCGAAAAATAGTGGGCGCCCCTGATCTAAAGGTATCTCACTTGTGATCTTACTATAATGCCAATTATTTTAGGTGATGACTGGGCAACAGCTGTGTAGGAGATACATTGGCAGCAATTAGATCCAGTGCATAAACGATAATTAGACCATATATGTTTGAATGATTTGTTAATCCTGGAGGTTATGTAAAATATCAGATGAGAGACATCTAATTAAAGGAGAACTATGAGGTGAGTGCTTTTCACTCACCTCATAGTTCTATCCGACCTGTGACAATGAGACTGTCACAGGTCGTCTCAGTAGATCGGGAGGTGAGCGAACACATGCCGGTGTTCGCTCACTTCTCGATCCTGTCACGGCTCTCTGCCGTGACAGGGGAGGGGATGGGTTCCCCGCTCCGATCCACCAGCGCTGACTGGCGGAACGGACGGGGAAGGGGGCGGGTACAGCTGGCTCTGCCTCTAGATAGGCAGAGCCAGCTGTCACTCACGCAGCTGGGCGGCTCTCAACATCGATGTCTGGATCGGCTGCGGCGTCTCAGTATACCGCGAGCTTTAGCTCGCGTTATACTGAGCTTAGGGTGACGGGAGGACGCTAGTTTGTGTCCTCTCGTTACTCTAAGGAGAACTATGGGGAAAACCCCTGACCCCATAGTTCTCCTTTTAACATTCGGACTGTTGTAAGGCTTGTTATATCTTCACACATTGACATTAAAGTTAATTCTTTCTTGTGATGATCACCCATGAATGACTAAGTGCCACTCTGTGTAGTTGGTACCCTTATGCGAAAACATTATTTTCTTTTTCCTTTATATTTATTTTATTTCCTTTTTATTGCTCTTCATGATGGAAGTGCAGCAAGTTAATGGGGTTTATCTTGGGATATGACAGTAAAGTGTGTAAGTTCAGGTACAAATATTTTTCAGAATTCTGCAGCCTGATTACAACTTGGTGAGGCTGTTAACCGTTCATATATTTTTTTGTAGCTGAGTTGAGCATCAATTGTGCTAATTTAGAAGGTGTAAGGGCACCCTTTTGGGAGATAATGAGCATGGACTTGCCTTTAAATGCTTGTTATCACTTATGGAGATTCTTCAATTGTCAGTGAAGTCATAGATATGTGATGCTTTCATTAGTCATGTGCTGGTTGTCAGAGAGAAAAAGTAGGCAAGGTGATACAATGTTGGCTATTAAGAATCTCAGCCAAAACTATGTTTTGTTTCAGAGAGAGCAGGGAAAGGCCAGAGCCTCTGTCAAGTTTTTATTGATGTTTCTTCAACAATCCATGTACTACTTACGACTTTAAATGTGACTGAAGGGTGCTGGCCCAAAGGGGATGCATCATTGTGCGGGCGTGCACTGTCTGTTTGCAAGAATGTACAGACATGTTCATTGTGTGCTAGTCCTGGCTTCCAAAATGCACACTGATTAAAAAGAAAAAAGTCAAAGGTCACCACCTGGATTTTAGCTAAGAAAATACATAAGAGCCTTCCATTGGATAATTAGTCTAGGTTCAGCAACGTTATCACCCTACCAATCATCACTACACAATCTTGGTGAAAAACGAATGCAATTATGTACAGAAAGAAATGTTGCAATATTTAAACAATGTCACTGCGAATGCGTGCTGTCCTCAAAGTTAAAGGCAGTCCAACAAAATATTAGAGTGTGCGACTTTTTTTTTGACAAGCAGTGTGTATATATGGAAATTTAAAGGTTAGTCTCCGTATTTAGTTATTGCCCAACTTTTAGTTTGAATCAGCTAACTGCTTTTCAGCTGCAAAAGATGTCCAACGTCTTACTGTTTATTTTATTTAGAAAGCAACCAGAGACTTGAGTATAAAAGCATGTCCCCTGCCAGCGTGCTGAACCTTTTTTCTTTTTATGTAGAAGCAGTGGCTCTTTTGCAGAGGTCTGACACATTCCCTGCTGAATCAATGCAAGAGCTCTGCATAAGTTTTACTGATTGCATAGCTAAAGCTCTGACACAGCAAGCGGTGTGACGGACCTCTGCAAACAGGCCACTTTCTCTGCAGCATACTGGCAGGGGACAGGCTTCTTTACTGTGGCTGCTTTCTGAAGAAAACAAGCTGTAAATCGATGCACCTAGAATGTGTGCAGCTGTTTTAAACTGAAGGTGCAGTTGGGCTTTAAACTGAGGGTGATGAAAATACTCATTTTGAAAAGTCTTAGCCAACAAAAAAGTAAACAATCTCCAGTGCCAGTTCAGATTTCTGTGTCCAGTCAGTATGCTGCAGAATATACCGCTGCTGTGTTGGCGAGAGCATCTTCACTTTGTCTCACACAACCTCTGCTCAGTCAGACTTATAGCTCTGCTATTAGGATGGAATGTGAGTGCTGACTCAATGTGGGGCGTATCAGGAAGTTGCAGAGAGACCACTGCCTTCACATACTGAGAACAGTGGCCTGTATCTGTAGCATACTGCCCCGACACATACATTTGTACTGGTGCTGGGGATGACATTTTTTTTTTTTTTTAATGTAAGCTCTTTTGAAATGAGTATTTTCAACACCCTTAAGTTTAACTACATGCTTTTTCTGGAAGCTACAGTCGATCTTTAATGATGTTCAGTTGCTCTTTTCTGGTACAGAAATATGACCACTGTAAGATGAATCCTTTTACAACTTGCATTGTTTAATAACTTTTATCTTCTGAATTTTACAGGCTCTGTCTTGGACATAATCAAACATATTATAGCGAAAGGAGAACATAAGAATGGTGTTCTGGATGAGCCGAGCATTGCTACTATGCTAAAGGAGGTTCTGGAGGGCCTGGAGTACCTGCATAAAAACGGGCAGATACATAGGTAGGTGCGTGGTGGTAATGGTAAATTTCCTAATCCCCCCTCTAGGTTTCTAAACACCAATACCAAAATAATTTGGGAATCATGTATTTTGAGCCCTCACTCATTTTTTAGTGCACACACCTTATATTTCCCCTCCCATATACCAACTGGAGGTTACGTGCAATTATGGAAGTAATTATCGCATGAGCCAGTTCACTGGTTTGGAAGAATTTAGTTTGTGTGATTCTTGCTGCACATAGCAGGAAACTTTGCGAATAACATCATGGTGGCAATATAGAACTATTGAGTACTGATCACAGTGCATATTCAACCATGCAAACTTTATTTAAAGGTGCTATTGTGCACTTCTAGGCTAAACTTAAAGTGGGCCTTTTACTCATAATTGTAAAATAACAACAAACACAAGTCTAGAAATGTTTAGTAATGACAATCTACAAACACAGTCCCCAGTCTTCTGACAGTGGCCATGTTTACTAAGGGGAGGTTACTAGATCCCCTTTTACTTCCTGAAAATTGGCACATGTGACTAGACATGTGACCACCATCTCAGGGGAGGAAAATGCCTTTCCCTGAGATGAGCTTTCCCAGCAATGCTCTGCTAATGTAACCTTCCCAGGATGCAATGCTTGGGCTAACTGAAGTCATTTTGCTCTTTCAAAGCAGGAAGTGAATGCTTTGCATGTGTAAGTATTTCAAAATCACAGCATTTTACACCTGACATGTCTATGTTATTATTAATCATCATATATAGAGGGATGCATTGGTAGAATTTAGATTTTTTTAGTGTAGGTCCGCTTTAACTAATCTACTCTGGAGCTTGTGCCTGGAAACCAATTCTATTAAAGGGGTGAAACATAGAGTCAATTCATCCAATCTACTATCCAGCAGACTCGGGAATTTACCAGCCTTGTTCAAGTGATGGGACAGTACAACACGATCCATTGTTTAAAAAAAATGGAAGCTAAAGGTGTTGCTCAAATTGACCAAAAAAAAAAGCAGATCACCAGCACTCAGTAATAAAGTTGAATATGTCCCTTTAATTGGACGAAGATGTCACAGTGATCAGAAAAGCCAACGTTTCGGGACCACGTCACATCTTTCTGCCTTGAGGAAGGAACCCTGCGCGGTCCCGAAACGTCGGCTTTTCTGATCACACTGTGACGTCTTCGTCCAATTAAAGGGACATATTCAGCTTTATTACTGAGTGCTGGTGATCTGCTTTTTTGTTCTGTGTTTGCACAACGCCATCCGTGGTTATCACTACGAGCACCATCTTCCCTGTTGGCTGGGACTGCTGCAAGGTGTACGGAGGGCTCCCCCATCGATTTACAGCTCAAATCGACCAGTCTATTTATTTTTCAGCTTTAGAAATAAAACCTAATTGGTTGCAGTGAGCAAGTGTTTCATTTGCTGCTGCATTTCCTTGGGCAGTGTGGGCTCATTTGAGTGGTAAATTCTCTTTGCCGTAAACTGCCCTGGGTGTGTTTACATATTTTGCAACTAATTGTTTGAACCCTTTATGCCACTTGGGCAGACTGTCCGATTTTGTGGCCTCAAATGCCGACCTTAACTCTTTGCGTATTATGGTTTTAATTTCTGCTTACCAGTAAATTTAAATGGTGAAGAGTTTTGTGAAATGTCAACCTTCAGTTGAGGTGGGGCCTTCTTTGAAGTGCAATGACACTCTAGTGCTGCAACATTTAAAGTACCAGCCCTGGGGATGCTCGGCAACAATAGATATGTCTGATTTGACAGGAAGCAGCAGAGATGCCATGTAAGCCAACTGTAGTAACCGACTAATACGTACATTGCAGCACCCAAGTGAATATACAAGAAAAGCAGAATTTTTTTTTTTTTTGCTATTCGTGTAGTTTAATTTATTTTCACACTTTTACATACTTGCTTTTTTCCATATTTTTTATGCACACATATATTTCTTTTAATGCTGAACTCTAGGCAGATAGAAAAGGCACACAGGAATATATAATTAAATGTATTTTTTAAATCGAAACAGTGTATACATGTGTGTGTGTTTACAGTATTTACAATGTGTGTGTGTATATATATATATATAATTACTCCAGCTATGGGGTCCATCTGAGAAACATCCACACACCCACACTTCTGAACTAACTCCAACTCATCTGTGCCCTATACAATGGCTTTTATCTCCCTTCCATTCAAGTCAAAAGGGAGAGAATACAGTTTAGACCTGATTCATATCTCATATTACAGTTTGTTATTTCTAACACACACTCAAAAAGTAACAAGTGGCCATACGCTGGACATAGGAGTACACAATGGAGACGGATGTACTTTTGGTTGGATAATATCGAACACAATTAACAAGAGTGCCAAATCGGAGATGAACCACCAATATAAAACCAAATAAATGTTGAGATATCACAAATAAAGGCAAAGTCTACCTTTTATACCATATTCAGGGCGTAACATCAAACGTGATCACATCACCCCATCACCGCACTTGTAGCTGATTGACTTCATTACTGCACAATCTGCCAGAGCATTGCACCCACAATCCACTGATCACAATTGTAAATATATAATTTATTTTGCATTGGAGTCAGTAAAGCATTGCAGTTGTGATCAGTGGATTGTGAGTGCAATGTTGTGGCAGTAATGAAGTGTCAATCAGCTACAAGTGCGGTGATGGGGTGATGTGATCATGTTTGATGTTACGCCCTGAATATGGTATAAAAGGTACACTTTGCCTTTTATTTGTGATATGTCAAAGTTTATTTCGTTTTATATTGGTGTTTCATCTATGATTTGGCACTCTTGTTAATTGCGTTCATCGATATTATCCAACCAACAGTACATCGTTCTCCACGATGTACTGCTATGTACTCACTCCAGCGTATGGCCAGCCGCTCCTTTTTGAGAGTGTGTTAGAAATAACATAAACTGTAATATGAGATATGAATCAGGTCCAAGCTGTGTTTATATACCTTTTGGCTTGAATGGAAGGGAGATGAAAGCCAGAGACGTTGTATAGGGCACACCTGAGTTGGGCTTAGTTCAGAAGTGTGGGTGTGGGAATGTTTCTCAGATACACCCCACTTGATAGCTGGAGTAATTGCAGCCGCTAAACTACATTATGTGAGGATAGTAAATATAAAAAAATTGAAATCTTTTCACTGTGATCACTTTTCTGTGGGAACTTTTATATAGTACGTGAAGATTTGCCAGGTCTTTGGAGTTATTATGAAGCTTTTTTCTTTCTTTAGGAGATCATTAATTTAATTTGTGTTTGGTTTTCTCAAGTCTTTCCCGTTCTGCCCCACTTACAAACAATGCTAGTATTTACATAGGACTTAAGTGAAGATGATGTAAAGTATTAAAGCTTAAGATCTACTGTTGGGTAGACTCGATTTACAGCTGGTAAGGCAAGTCAGTATTTTCTGTATATTTTTTTGCCACACATTTTTTTTACCATTATCAACAAATTCAGTCATTATATATAAGCTTATCTGTGCCTTGACAAAATGCTAACAACAGATAGGAGAAGTGAAATTAGAAACTGTGCACATGCACAACTCACCCCCTCTGTCTCTTCACGTATTTCAAATCTACTCAGTGACATCTCAGCATGGATGTCACACCACTACCTCAAACTCAATCTATCAAAAACTGAGCTTATAATTTTTCCTACTCTCCGTGTTCCCTCCCCCAACTTCCCCATCACAATCAACAACACTACGATCAGCCCCTCCCATCAAGCCAGGGTACTCTGTGTTATACTCGACTCTGAGCTCTCCTTTCAGCCCCACATCCAATCACTATCCAAATGTTGCCGACTTAACCTCCGTAACATTTCCAAAATACGCCCCTTTTTGACAAATGAAACCACAAAGCTTCTAATTCACTCCCTTGTAATCTCTCGCCTCGACTAATGTAACTCCCTCCTTGTTGGCCTACCACTAAGCAGCCTATCCCTCTTCAGTCTATCATGAATGCTGCTGCCAGACTCATCCACCTTAAGAACCGTTCTGTGTCTGCCTCTCTGCCAATCCCTCCACTGGCTCCCAATTGCCCAACGAATAAAATTCAAAATACTGACCACAACATACAAAGCCATGTACAACTCCGCCCCAACCTACATCACTGACCTCATCTCAAAATATCGCCCAAACCGTCCTCTCCGCTCAAGACCACCTGCTCTCTAACTCTCGAATTACCTCCTCCCACGCTTGCCTCCAGGACTTCTCCAGAGTGTCCCCCATCCTCTGGAACTGCTTACCCCATTCTGTCCGCCTATCTCCTATGCTGCCCACCTTTAGGCGATCCTTAAAAACCCATCTCTTCAGGGAAGCCTATCTCATCTCACCGTAACTGCCTTTTACTTCCTCCAATAACTCAGTCCAAACAATTATTACCTTTTGTATCACTTGCCCCTCCTACTAGATTGTAAGCTCTCATGAGCAGGGCTCTACCAACCCTATTGTTCTGAAACTGTATTGTACTGTAAATTGTATTGTAACTGTACTGTCTCCACTCTTTCGTAAAGCGCTGAGCAAATTGTTGGTGCTATGTAAATCCTGTATAATAATAATGTATAATATATATATATATTTATGTATGTATATTATACTAGTTACCTGGCTGTCATTCTGATCCAGTGGCTTCTGTAGTTTGTGAGTTACTGATCCAGAACAAGTATGTAGGCTAGGTGTTCCCACTTTGCCCTCACCTTCATTATTTGCATGCCTGTTCTCGGTCTGGATTTTAAAAAAGTATTAAAGCAAAGAACAGTCAGACAGCCATTTTAAAATAAGTTGCCTGATATGTAGATGATCATTAGGGCACATTTACAGATTTGTATAGGAAATGCGAAATAAAAATATGGAACTGCAAGTTAGAAACAAAAGTGGAAACGTTTTTTCAAAAATTACTTTCAAGTAAATATTACAACTTTTAAATGAAAATGTGTACGTAGAAAATACATAATTCATTTTATCATGTACATTCTGTTGGTGGATGTGAATCACAAAACTGCATAGTGCACCTACAACAAGAAGACACAAAGCCAACCCACTGCTGGCTCTGCATATAAAGATGGATAATTTTGTTGCATTTTGGAAGTCATCACTTTTATATTTCCTTGTTTCTAGGGATGTTAAAGCTGGAAATATACTTTTGGGGGAAGATGGCTCTGTACAAATAGCAGGTAGGTTTTGCTGAGCATGAATTTTTTATTTGTCACTACTTGGCACTTTATTATGCACAAATTGTTGACATTTTGGAGCATGCAAATCTTAAAGGAGAACTATGAGGTGAGTGATTTCCACTCGTCCTCATAGTTAGAGCCGACCTGTGACAAAGAAATTGTCACAGGTCAGCTCTATTGATCGGGAAGTGAGCAGAAACATGTAGCCGATCCGCTCACTTCCCGATCGTCTCCCTGCAGAGAGCGGTGACTGTCAGTCAAAGCTCCCAGCAGGGATTCCCCCTACCCTCTCCGATCCTCCAGCACTGAGTAGGGGAACAGAACGGAGAGGGGGCGGGCACAGCTGGCTCTGCCTCTAGATGGGCAGAGCCAGCTGCCACTCACGCAGATGGGTGGATCGCGATTGTATTGACGGGATCCGTCCCGGCTGCTGCGCTTTCAGTGTATAGTGGTCAATAGCCCGCTATATACTGAGCTTTGGGTCACGGGAGGAGGTTAGTATATGTCCTCCTGTGACCCTAAAGAGAACTATGGGCAAAAACACTTACCCTCTAGTTCTCTTTTAATGTTATACAATTGTGTTTACATGCTGCAGATATTGAATGAAAATGTTAACTAGTATGGTCATTAAGTCGAAATCCCCTTACACCCATTTTTGCAGTTACTTGATCTTGCAAAGTTGGTGTGAACATTGATTCATGTGAAGCTCTTCCAGCAATCTCCTCCCTACACTGTTCCAGATGTTATACGTGTCAATGTGTTGGACAAACCTAGCACAAGCAAGGGGAATCACTTGGGGAACTCCAAAGTGCTAGATCCTCTCTGAGGGGTTGCAGGATTAGAATTTTGTATACATGGTACTTAATTTTCCTTAATTTCCTTGACATGTAATAAAATGTGTTCAGATCCACTTTAGGTGCAACAAGTGAAGAAAATAAGTTGTTACAGTTAGGGATCATGCCCAGGGACAGCTTAGCCCAAACAACATAAATACCAGCATATATCTCCCCCCCACCAGGGAGCCACAGGTGCGTCAATGGCTGTACGCAGGTATACGTCGGTACTTGTATACAGCTTTGAATACAAGTATACGCATATGTGGCTGTACACTAGTACCAGCGTATACCTGCATACATAGATTCACCTCTATGGGAGGCTGTACACAACACCTGCGGCTCCCTGCTGTTTTTATGTTGAATGCACTCAGTCCCCTTGTGCATGACCTCTTACATTCCAGTTACAATAAAATAAATAATGTTTCTTCAACTTTCAGCATTGCTTCTTTACCAAAACAGAACCATGCTCTACTGCTGCTTTAAAAAATATAATCCACATCATTCCCGTTTTGCTTCATTCTATGCACTCTTTAAAAACAGAGAATACAAAAAATAGGCTCCAAACCATCTGGATGTCTCGTAAACATTTTCAAACCCGTATTTAATTATTCTGAGCATTGACAAAGCCACATGCTGGCTTAGATTTAATTTAAAATGGCTAGCAGTGTTAACTCTAAAGTAAGGAGGGTGGGGGGAAGGTGTAATTAGATGAATGAATCAAACCTTTGGTAGTTCTGCAAGTATATAATTACACTTACAACTTGCAAGAAGAAGCAGAACTTAATCTTCGTGAATGAACACAATGCAATGAGTTTGCCCAGATCATTTTGTTTATCCACATTGAGATTAATGTGATTGTTTGGTTGGGGATTACTAAGTTCATTTTTTTCTTTTTCCAAATGTAATAGCTCTGACACACTATGCAGTGTTTTACAGGGTACAAAGAACCAAATACTTTGTAACTGCTCCATACATGATTACACAGGAGGAGCACTACACCAATGGCTGAAAGTCTGAATAAATCATAATAAATAATTCACAGAGCCATTCACCCTGAAAATCTCTGTGAATGTGCATTCTGTGAGGCAAAATAGAGGCAAAAAAAAAAAAGCGTTCTCGTATATTTTCAAGTCGAATGTAATGTACTGGGATACCACAATAAGGCCACTAGATGGAGCTGAAAAGCATATAAGTATTTCCTGTGCTCTTCATCTCCATCTACTGTCCATAATTTGGTATTACATTAGACCTGAAAGAATACTATACTAAGAATGTTTGGGTCTTACCTATATTCACACAGAATAAACATTCACAGAGATTGGTAGGGAGATGGCTCTGCAAATAGTTTTCACATAGACCCCATAGTGTTCTTGGTGGCTTTCCAACAGCTGTCCGATATTAAGCCTGTTCATTTATACTTCTCTTGCTTGAGTTTGTATAAATGGGAGGGGTGAGGACAGATAATAGAAGGAGGGGACTATACCCATCAGGAACCTCCCAAAACTACTTTTTGTTTGTTTTTGTAGTGGATAAGCCTTTAATGTTGTAGGGAAGTCATATACCACTTTTAGTAATTGAATCGCTTCTAATAGTAATCATTTTCTTACCTATCATTCCAGTCCAGTGATGTAATATCCTGTCTTCTGCTCCTCCAGATTTTGGTGTCAGTGCGTTTCTAGCCACAGGTGGTGACATAACCAGGAACAAAGTGAGAAAGACGTTTGTGGGCACGCCTTGCTGGATGGCCCCAGAGGTCATGGAGCAGGTAATGTTGTCTTCTCTAATACAAAGGACAATGGAGATCTTGTTTCCTTGGCAAACAAGAGATTGGGATCTAATCACTGCTCTACAAATGATTAATTAAAGCTGTGAAGATTATGAATGCTTTTCTAAAATGAATGCGATGCCTCATTGTAAACCTGAATATGTTGCAACAAATATCCCAAGCACATTTTTTATGCTTGTTTTAGTTTTTATTTGTATAGCACTGAAATATGCTTCACAGAGTACATTTCAGCATTTACATTAGTCCTTGCCCTGAGCGTACAGTGTAGTGTGTCCGCCACTACTCATACAAGCGCTCATACTATCATCTTACAGGATTTAAAGGAGAGGTATTGAGAGAGTAAAACATACTCTTCCCAATACTTAGATAACACTGCAGGTGTCACATGCTGGCTTTATAGATCGAAAGCTGAGCAATCACAAACTGCTGTGAAGTGTGGTACATTTTATCAACAAAAAATTACATTTGCACCCTTTGATCAATAGTGTCCAAAAGCAAAGTCTAAGTGACTTTTTTATGTTCTGACCTGTACTAAACATCTAAAAGGAACAGTCTGATGACTATAGACAACATGGTGCTTTGTCATTTAGTGTGTGAATGGGACAAATGCTGTACACTGAGATAAACTGAACTTTTACATTTCCTACATTTCCTACATTTTGTTCGGACTCTTTTAGGTTCGGGGATATGATTTTAAGGCAGACATCTGGAGTTTTGGAATTACTGCTATTGAATTGGCTACTGGAGCTGCTCCATATCATAAATACCCTCCAATGAAGGTACGTCATATATATTTGTTTATGATATAGCATTATATGTATTATATGTATCACTGGACAAATCCCATGACCCAAGTAGGCAAACCCTCCCCCCCCCCCCCCCCACAACACAACACCCACTCGTTC